AAAAAGTTCGTTCAAGAAGTACAAAAGTGAAAAAGTCAAAGAATGATCATTATTGATGAGTCCTACCAAACGAGCAAACGAGAAAAGGAGCAAAAAACGACAAACTAGTCACTAAAAATGGCATACTATGACAACATCTCTTCTTTATTTATTTCCTTCACAAGACTTACCAAATTCTAGTACTACACAGAGTATGGTTCTCAATTTACACGTCCCCCTTTCGGTTGAAAGAAGCCTTGCAACAGCCTTAGCCAGGATTAGGTGACTACTTGAACTCGCCCCTGTGTTCTCTGCCGCGAAGGGCCAGAGTACAGACGATTAGAAGCTTCATTTTCGTCAAATTTGAAAAGTTAATACGTCATCATAAACTAGAAGATTTGCTCTATCAAACGGTCACTAGAACTGCTAAGTACGTCCACTATTCAAAAAATAGCCATGTTAAGGATTTTCGCTCGAATCCTCTTAATTTTTCCTGAATTGAGATTCTTTCTCCAGAGAGCCGTAGTTGAAGCGCGCGCAACCAACTGGGCCCACTCTGGGATGCGCCGTGTGCTTCACATCCCTTCAGATTCGAGGTACTTGAAAGATAAAATATCCTTGGAAAACGTGCGAATTTCGGATTCTTTAACTTGTGTGGTGATAAAACACTGAAGTAACTAAGAATTTAGCGGACACCTCAGAATCACGAAAATTTTGTGTGGGTGGAATATCATTGTTATTGGAAATCCTCTGGCCTGGCATCGACTCGATCCTTGATGTTTGTCCTCCGACGATGATCCTACTGCATCAATCGGGCCCGATCTCTCCCCCAGCGGGCCAATACGACCCCCCCCCTGTGACATGTCGAGGATTCCTCAACGCACGCTTGACCCTGGCTTGCACTGATATCCCCTGCCTTGGTGTGCGCCACGCCTCGGCCGCACTTCTGATTCGCTGGTTCATTTGAAAGCTCATTCAGAAGGAAGGGTTTATAGATGCTCTAGTATCAATCATCTTGCGTAAACGTAACGTGCTGGCTATTATCCGTTGTCTCAGGCAATACTACCAGCTACACTTCAGTTTCATATGTGGTTTCGTGGCTGAATCATGTCCACCAGAATCCCACTGCCGGCCTCCGAGGGAGTACGAACCCCCCTACAAGCTCAACCGAATACGACCCCCCCCTTGGTACTTATCGCAACATAGGGTTGACCCCGAGGATCAACAAAATCATGGGGTTCGGTTGAAGAAGTAGCGAAACAAGCCGTTCCAGTTATTTCGCTCAAAAAGCTTTTTCCGTTCTGAGCTGGACGATTTCTTCCAGATAATTTCTTGCGAAAAAAAGAAGCTTAACTGCCAACAAAACGCTTCACATAATTTATTAAAATTTCGCATTGAAACCCTTATCGTGGGTACATTTCGACACAAAAGGAACTATACCAACGCTTTCACTTGAGGAAGCTTACGAATACAACTTTTACCAAGTAACACTGTAAAGATCACAATCAAAGCGTGCTGACAGCATATGCTCGATGAATTGAGCCGTATGGTAAATTTATTCAACTTTGTGCACATTGAACTTGTGGTCCGTGATGTGCATGTCCACCCATCTCTTCATCTGATCCATCTTCATCGTAAGCTTGACCTGCTCTTCCTCCACGGTATCGCTTTTCATCGTATTCCATTAATGACACCTAAAGTAATGCAATCAGAACGGTGCCCTCCATTGTATGCCTCAGGAAAAAAGTAATTTGACCCTTTCGGACCTGGCGGTGGCAATTGCCATCAAATTCAAATGTCTGCATTACCGCTGAAACAGCATATTTTCTACTCCCACTAGAGTTGCTTCAGTCAACCTTCCCCTTCCTAATTATGCTGAACCTGCCATTTCATTGTGTGTTGCTGTTAGCATTACAAGTATTTGTGTACAAGTGCAACAATGAATCGGCGCTGGTCTCAGCAAGCTGCTAGGTAAGTGTCAATCATTTCTAAAATACTTGACATATATTCAATTTTTATCAAAAACGTTAGATATAATGTTGTGCAAGATCATAAACTTTTTCGACATATCTAAGAAATTTGGAATTGTTTCGACATAAGCTAAAAACTAAGAAGCTGGGCCAATTTTCAAAGCTTCTTAGTTTCTTTGTTTGTGATCGAATAGCTTCCAAATTTCGCCATAATGATATTTATATGCTCAGTAATAAACCAAATAAGAAGAAAAATTTTTACACAAGAAAAAAATCAGATCCGAAAGGGGTAAAATAGTGATAATCACTGCCCAGAGAAATATATACGCAACCCTTCACCATGACCTGCGACAGAGGTAATATCCTTAAATTTCCCAAAGAGAGGTCGTATTTTAGGGTTCCTTAGGGATTTTGTTCGCAAAAAGGTGGTTTTTTTGGATGTGGACATGGGTGGAAACAAATTTTTTGAATGAAGCTATGAATTTTTTTTTCCAAATTCGGAGAGAATATGGTGGATTCGGAGAACTAGCAACTGAGCTGTCAGCGAAAGTTTTTGCTAGCCTAAGTCAGTTTCTTCTAGTTCTTCGAAAATAAGTTCACACGGCGACTAAAATGCGTACCAAAGGTATGTGGACACCCAGAAACTTTCCTTTTCTGAGAATCTGTTGACTTCTGCACCATGAGACCGCCGCCATTCAATTTTTCGGATACGAAAACTTCAAAATTCTCATTTCTCACCGATGTGCTTGCAGCTTTGGATTTTTTAATAGTTGGAAAAACTTTCCCTTGTATCAAAAGTATGTGGACACTTTTCAAAAAACCGAATGTCCAAAGAATCCGAAATAGGTAGGCCTACAAAGCTTTTGACGTTCAGATATTCTGCTCTTCAGGCTCTGAACCAGACTTCCAATACCTTGCCTCGTCGATCTGTTCCCAGCCAGCCAATTTCATCAATATGTTAGGTCAACTGGATACTATTTTTTTCACAAGAATGCTGGGTTGTGAACAAAACTTTCGCCCCAGGCGGGACTAGAACCCGCACCTCTCGCTTTCCGGGCAAGTGCGCTACAGTTACTATTTTTTTTTCGTTCAATGACGCAGAGGCAGCGAACCACGATCCTTTGTGTTTTTGAAAAGATGTAGTCTGAAAAAATGCTAACCAATCCAGCACCCAAGACCCTTGCGTTTGCTTTGACCCTTGCAAGATGGAATACATGTCGGGACCTGCCCTTGGGCTTGCTACAGAATAAGTGTTTGTGACGCTGGCTTGAAAATTGTAGTCGGGAAAGCAAGCACCCCATTATAATCCTAATTATCTACCTGACATGTTGGCAAGCTGATATTGAATTTTCCTCTTCTTCTGAAATTACCTAACTGATGAACCTCCTCCGAAATGTCTCGCCGAGCACATCTGCGGGTCACGACGAAGGTCCCTCCATTAGCAACGAGATCCACCCGAATAGCCAAAGATAAGCTTTTTCTCACCAGTCGAGTTGTCTAGGGAGGAAATTTCCACAGAGCGTCTTTTATTAATTTTACCATTTCCACGAAAGCGCTGTCTGTGTGGGTTCAAGGTATCATGTTGTGATCCTTTTTTGAGTGGGAATTCCAACCTTGCCAACCTGAACCCGCATTCATAATCGAATTAAGCCTTCTTCATCTTCTCTCGTATCACACTCATTCGATTGAATGAAACACCGATTGGCCTTTCTTGAGGCGGGAATGACATTCAAGCGTGAAGTTGAGTAGTACGCAAAAGAAAAGTTTGAGAAATTAAGGCTATTCTTCTCCTTTTTGAACAAGTAGCGATGAGAACAACCCTCATTCAATGTCGAGATTTTAGCATCAGGGTTTCGGACCTCTTTTCCAACATGCGAGGACGCATGACCGGGTTGATTCAACTTTTCTAGACCTTCAAATTGCGATTCCGCAATGGTAAGGTCCAGGAACACGGCGACCCCATCCTGTGTTTGATATTCTTTGGAAAAAAGCTTGCGGCGAGTCATACAGCCTCTTTTATCCGAAAAATTTCGCATACAAAGGCAATCGAGTAGTGAGCTAGTTGTGAAGCAATTTTATCAGTATGGTCTCGAAGGCACGAGATCGTGGGATCGACCTTCATTAGTAAACAAGTTGCTTTTTCAGCAATAAGGGTGAAGAACTTCTTCGACCTGACTTCGTCGGGGCCTTTTTTAGTTTTCTGAGAGAAGACTGCGCGCAACTATTAGCAAATTTGATTAATGCATACGTTAGAGCGGCTGCAATTGCGCATGCACTAACAGCTTGGCATCAAAAAAAAGGTGATGTTCGTACTCAAGGGATTCACCCACCTATCCGAACAAGTTTACTGCCAGACCTGTGATTTTGACCCATCTTTGATGAAGTGGGGCAATTGATGGTGTTTTCTCAGCTCGTAGTACTCTAGTACTCGAGAGAGCTCGTAGTACTGTTCACCTGCTGTGAACACCGGCAAGTTTCTGGATAAGGATATAACGCTGCAGTGGTGCCACTAAATAAGCAAGGCGGGTCTATTGCGCTAAACCCTAAATTCCAAAATGGCTACAACATTTTCCCGGAAGTAGACCGCCCTTCTAGACACGACATCTTACCTGTTTATCCGCGAAAACGTCTCGGGTGTGCACACACGGGCACTATAAGCGGTCATCGGTCGCTCATTTTACGGCGGTAAGGTGATTAAGTCTATGGATAAGCACTTGTACATATTGATTCAAACGCTTTTGTATGTGCTTCACTGTGGTGCGTATACACAGCAAAATACGATTGCTCATGCTGCATGAGTGCAAATTGAGCCCGAAAGATGCTTCTGCAGCAGCTCGCAGAATCAACGAAGCCTGGCTCAAAGGTCTTGCAAAGAGCACGTTCGGGAGCGTTTGCTGAATATGCATCTATGGTTGGTTTTGTTTAGTTTTGTTAATAAGCTTATAAGCAAAATGACAACGGCGGCTAATTATTGCTAAACCTAATGAAATAGATCTCATCCAGAACGGCCATGGCGACCTAAGGAACTCTCCTCGAAGAAAAAAAAAGGCAAGAACACCTCCCGTATAGGTCGCATTCGAAAACTTCCACGATTCTGACCGCGAATACAGGAACATATAGGGAAAAGGGAAACCGTGTACCGCCCCCAGCTTATCGAGCATTTGAAAACGCAAAAGTTATTTGAAACTAGTCCAAATGATGCACAATTCTACCTCATCAAATGCGTGAAGGAACAGAGATCCAAAAAACTAAAAATTATGAAACAGCGAAAAGCAAATCAAACGAAACGAAAGGAAAGGAAAAGGACATTAGCCATGACTTTTTTGAAGACGTTCGATCTACATAGAACTCTTCGAATTTAGTATGGAGGTCGAGACACGGGCCTCAGTAGTGCGATTTTTCGGACTGGAGGGAATGCAGACTCAATAATCTGAAAGTAACTTCAATATGACCGACTTGGAATGTTCCCTAAGAATTGAGAGCTCAATTTATGAATTAATGCAAATTCAAAGCGGAATTAACCTTGTATTTCGTCTCATCTTCGAGAAAATGATCACTAGGAAATGTGACGTCAAACTTTACATAGAGATTTCCGCGGATGTCATGATGACGCCTTTGTGGCATGCCTTCTCCTACGATGCCACGCACGCAATCTGCAAAAATTACATTATGGCATTAAAGTCAGAGTTTCTGACAAAGTAACCGATGAGGTGAAGATACGATGCCCGTTCAGCATTTGCAGAACAGCTGCAGATCAGGATGTTTCTACTCGAGTAGTGCAAGGCGAACTTGAGAGGAAGACTGTTTCAAAAGTACCTGGTGTGATTATATCGCCCGGTTTGTTCTTGAGAATAAGAGTACGTCCGTCTAGGTGTTTCAAAGGAATTTCATATCCACACAAAGCCTCGTTTAACGATATAGTTCTTAAATGAGAATATGGCTCCCCCACTTTCTTCACGATTTGGGGCGCGGCCGCGGCAAACCCGCGCCGAGTCGATAGTGCCCGCGAAACTGTGTGGGTAAATTTGAAAACGCATCACCACCACAGTTCGCGGGCACTATCGACTCGTCCGCGCTCGCCGCGGCCGCGCCCCAAATCGTGAAGAAAGTGGGGGAGCCGAAATATAAACTGGTCAAAAGTGCAGCAGATTGATAGGAACATTATATACTTTTTCGCGATGAGATCGTCGCCCTCCCTCTCGAAGACATCATGTGGCTTTACTTGTATGACAATGACCACGTCACCAGGCTCAATGTCTGGGCTAAAAAACAAGCTAGAAAAATAATGTGAAATTTAAATAATAAAGCATAAAGCAACATGAACAAAAACGAACATCGGATTGATCTCCCTCGCCCGGGAATGTGATTTTGTCGTTATGGCGCATTCAGACTCGACGTGACCCTTAACATTTGAAACTTTCTGCCGTTTTCAAACGATGGAAACTATCACAAAAGACCTTGAAGCTCTGATAAACCTCATCACTACACTATCAAACATTGACTACCTCCAAAATTTTCTTGACTTCCTCGCTCTTTTCACCCCTGCAGTTGCTACATTTGTCTGATTCGGGAATCCGTGAACCTAAACAGGTATGAAAAGATAAATTGTGAGATACACATGGATGCTGAAAAGTGAATGCTGTTGCCTCTGTGCCAGAGTGCAACAGCGAGGAATTAACAGCTTGGCGACCCTATCGGTGGGCGGCAGAGACGAGGCAAAAAAGGATGAGCAATGCCTCGCCAGGCTGCTGACGTTCCCTTCGTCTGCGGAAAAGCTACATTTCGCTTACCCTGGGGCAAAATACTCTTATCGAGTCTGTATACTACTACTAATACTCCTACTCTCGCCGCCTAGGCCTAAGGGTTGGGGACCTACATGGTGGATGACCATGTGCAAAAATCTGGGTAGCATGACGGCAAGATAAGCAGTATGTAGACACTCCACCGGCCCTATGAAAAAATACAGACGTAGTGCGTTTACACGCTACATATTATGCTCATCCTTAGGTTTAGAAACCAAAGGAGTTGGCTTTCTGTGGTACTCAGGATAAAAAAGCAAAAAGTAGCCTCCATTTTAAACTCTTCACCGGAATTCATTTACGATGAGCAAGCTTCCCCTCTTCACGAAATATTTGCCACCTGCGTTCAAAACTGAATAGGTGTAGTCATCTTTGGCTCCGTCACCTCTCACTGACTACACACAAACCAAAGGATAGGCTTAGGTCTTGCCCTCTCTTGTCCGAATTTAAGCATAAGCCTAAGCATAGGCATAGCTTTCGGCCGTCGCACAGCGTTGGTGAGCCCACCTACAATGAAATTCGAAACTGGAACTTCTAAACGGCGCACTTTTTACACAATTTAATTTCACCATGAATTATGACTGCGCGCACACACCGGCTTCCCCACTGACAAACAAAAAAAAAGTTCGCCAAATTTTGGCCCGGTCCTTAAAAGTTGTCAAGAAACGTCTCACACCCGAGCGCTACTTTAGCAAAAGGTTCCGGCTTTCCGATGAAAACACAGTGGATGATTCCGTGTGAATACAAGGACTCCCTGGTGGGCGGTGAAGTCTCTCTTCGGATGCCGCTACGCGATCATGGAACTGGTTCTGTTTATGTAAAGTGGTGGTCCCCCCTCCAGGAAGTAGTGAATGCAATGACACATCAAGGACGATCGCCACTTTTTCGCGGTTTTGATCGCGTGAAATGGGTGCGATTCTGCGAGCGCCGTCACCTTCCCTCCTATCCGTGCACTGTGCTTCCTAAGCGAACAGAAACATAAATATAATTGAATGTGCTAATATCATAATTTTCCTAAATATTCCCCATATTGGTGGAATCATTAGGGAATCATATATAACTCCAAACGTCGTGGTTCACTGTAAGACAAATGTTTCAGTTTGGAAAAAATTCTCCGGGCGATGTTAAATTTTCACTCAGTTGTCTTACTTTTCTTTTTATTCCCATTAAAACGTGAATGAAAAGAGCATAAGAAGTAAATACAAAGTCTGAGAATAAAGGCATGTACTCTGCTGAAATAATCGGAACAAAAATATTTTATGCCCACTGTAACGAATGTTAACAAACTTTTTGTTTTCATACGATTACATGAAATCAATTTCTTTCCAATCGAAATACCTTTACATATTTACCATAGCTGAAATTACTTGGTAATAGTCATGTTTTTTTTTATTTACTGCACAACATCCACAGAGGAACATGGCGCTCAAAATCGCGCTCGTTCCACGCGACCGAAAAGCTAAAAAATACGCGCATCGTGGAAGTGCTAACTAATTTTTAAGTTTTAAAATAAAAAATTCTTACGCAAGTTGCGAACAATCACACGCCAAGCGTATTAAGCATGACCCACTTTAATCACGTCAGAAAGTTCACTGTACCAATGCAAGCTGATCTGGAATTCTTCCTTCGAGATTTTTTTCTACTAGATTCCATTGCTTTTCACTTTTTATGTGCTCCAGTGGTCTGGACCGTGAAACACCATAACAATGCAGAACGCAGACCGCGAGACACATAATCGAGCTAAGAAGAGGATTGATTTTGCAAGTCGTCATTTCAATTCATTACTTTATTCTACTTTTTATATGCCAGGGTTTCGCTCAACTTAATGGCTGCTTGTTTTGTCATGACGAAGTGAAGAATCGGAAGCCACAAAGATGCCATACTTAGTGATCGATTCTGTCGACAGACAGAGATTTCATGGGAGAGCATCCGCCCCTTACGGGATAACCTTAACGTTGTTCGTAACAACCTACCTTTAGCCTGAGCTCTCGGGACTGGTGTTTAGCAAATTTCATTCTTCTGCCAAATGAATATTATAGTACACCAACGCGATAATATTGGTTAAAAAAGCGTGATTACCTTCCCCTCCACAGTCGTTACATCTGACTTGCATTTGCTGAACCATTCCTGGACCAATTTGCTGTACAAGATTCTTTACTCCTCGACCACGACAAGAGTGACATTCGTAAGATTGCCCAGTTTTTCCACCAGTTCTGAAAATGGTGATGGAAACAACCAACTACTAAAAATGACTAGACAATTCGCACTAAGTCATGAGGATGACAGTTTAAACAAGTATCCCCCCCCCCCCGCTTTTTGAAAATGACAGCTAAGTTTCAGTATCCATTCATTATGGAAAGCATGTCTCAACGGCTTCACACCACTTATGCTGATTCTCTCTCGCCACCCGTTGAGAGTGGATACAAAATGATGATCTAACCATAAAACACATTTCGCCAAGTAATTGAAAGAACCCATACAGTTCTTCTCGGTTAGCTTAAGAAAGTTAGTTTAAGAAAACTGTATTTGACATTTTCCTCTCTCCCGTTCAGTAACTTCACTTGAAAAAGGTGCAACATCAATATAGTATACCCTTTGCATTTCGTGCACAGCGCCTTCTTTGATAATCGAAGCTTCGATGTTTTACCCATATAGACTTCTTCCAATGTGACATTCAAGGGATACACAGTATCCTGGAACTTCCGCCGAGTTCGTCTGAAACAATCATTAATCAGTTTGGGCGGAGTAACCAGAAGGGCATCACTTTTACCGTCGTCCACCACCACCCATCCCGAAGAACCCGCTGAAAGGTGAGTCGTCATCGTCACCAAATATATGAGAAAACAGGTCGCCACCAAATCCGCCTAAAGCGCAAATGGATTCAGCCATAGTCATAATCAAAAAACGTTAAAACTGCGCAGCATCATCGCAGCTTAAACTAACCTCCACCTCCACCTTCTTTGATGGCGTCTAGCCCACCAATGTCATATCTACGGCGCCGCTCTGGATTGGATAAAATTTCGTACGCGAAACTTATCTCCTTGAACTGAAATCAAACGAGTGTAGAAATAGCCACGACGAAATGATTTGGAACGCTAACTACATTAAAAATTATGTTATGTAAACGACAAACCTGGTCTCCATGATTGGGATTTTTGTCAGGGTGGAATTCCTTTGCTAGTTTGCGATATGCCTAAAAGTAGATATGCACTAGTGTCACAGCTTTTGGCTCAACTTCCTTCTGAATTTAAGTAGCTAAACAACAAGCTAAACACTAACGGGAGACGATTAAAAGTAGGCGAATTACCCACGCTAAGTTGGGACTCAACAGTAGTCACATCATCCCGCTACAAACTGTAACTACTGTCTTACTTGTTAAGTTCTAAAAAGGATCCAGAGAGGCCAAAAGACAAGAAACGAGCACTGCCCCACCTTTCTTATGTCGTCATCGCTGGCGTCAGGCTTGACTTTAAGTACATCATACAGACGAGTATCAACCGGACCATCGTGAGCTCTACCCATACCGCCCAATCCACCGTGAAAGAACATGGCTCACTCCTGAAAGTGCTGCAAAAATGCTGTAGAGCCACTAGTAAGAATAAACTTGAAGCAAATACCACACAGCGAGTCGATGAGAATCGAGTTCTCGAACATTCATGACACGCAGAAGGCGCCAGACCAACTTTGCGTCAATTAACTGTGTGTGCTTCGTCCCTACGCCTTTGATGCTTTCAAAGCAGCTGCGAAAGTCGTTCAAATTTTGAAAGAAGATTCGAATTCTTCGGTAAAATCTACCGGTCTATTCCATTACTTGTGCAAAGGGGATTTTTGGTGCAGCGCTCAAATTTTCTTGCCCAAACATTCGGGGATTGCTGCTTGCCGCCCCTCGTTAAAAAAGCTGTAACACTGTGAAACGAAAAGTGTATGCTAGGGAACGCATCCTATTAAGAGGGAAGGGTATGAGGTGAAAAATAAGTGTTTGCGGGCCTGGGATTCTCCATTCGGAAGGAAAAGCCTTTGAAAAATGTTATAACTGCAAATTTTGGAAAAAAAAATCAATATTTACCTATCTAGCAACTGGGACTACGCCTAGATGGGCAGGAGGGTGGGGGGGGGGGGGCGATATCCTTGAGCAAATGGAATGTAGCTAGTTTAGAGGATATCGGGGTGTGGTTGTGTGTTCGCGGTGCTAAATGTGTTGAGGGGGGGGGGGGGGCACGCGGCGGCGCGGCAGTCTGCTCGCCTGGTGCTCTCTCGAGCGAGATGGTTTAAGCTCGAATACTCCACCTTTTCACGCATGTTAAGTGGCTGCCCCCCCCCCCAGACTACCTACTTCCCCTGCCCAACCGACTTAGGGAGTAAGCAAACCAGCCCTTTTGGCGTTTCTGCTGGGGCCGTATGCTGAATGTTGGGGAGGGGATGGGGTCCCCGACGGTCGACGGACTACTTCAACTCGGTCCTTAAAACCGCCTCAATTTGATGCTTACCTCAGGACTAAGCCTTAAAGAGAGGACGGACCTGCGCTCTCTCGCCACTCTCCAAGGCCTAGTCCTGGAAAGCGAACCAGCATTGTGCATATGGTCCCAGCAGAAACGACAAAAGGGCTGGTTTGCTCACTTCCCAACTTAGCACCTGGCACGCCAGAAAAGAAAACTTTTCTTCTGCTAGTTCCCATGTCCGTCTTTCTTGAAACCTGGGCATTCTTCAAGAGTGTTTGTGTTAGTGCTGTGCCATACAGGTTTTTTAGGGTGGAATATTTATTACTGACGTTTCGACGATTTCGTCGTTATCAAAGGCCTGAAAGCATATCGAAACGTCTTGTGATGTTGCCGTTCCGCTCATAGCTGACCCACTCCTACTAAATGTAACAGCTCCCCGCGCGACTACGCGCGACTACGCGCGACTCATAGAGCAGAAGTTCGAATAACGGTCAACTCACCTTAATTCCACCAGGACGGGCCGCTCAGCTCCGCGAGTCAATGGAGAAAGTGAGACGTAGCAGACCAAGGCTTTTTCCATATGGAGCTCAAAATAAGTTGTATCTTCAACTTCCGTTTATATCGGATCACTTTAGTGCAGTTATACAAGAGTGTCTGAGAAGAGCCGACCTGGCCAATGATGTTATCTTGGTCAGTACACCAAGAGACAACCTTAAACATCAATTGGTCAGAAATCGCCTCTACGACCGGAATTGCACCATGGATAACTGCGTGATCTGCCCGTATGGAAAGGTAGGAGACTGTGCACAAAGATCTGTGGTTTACCAGCTTCAGTGTTCAACATGTAACGCCTTGTACATTGGAGAAACTGGGAGACAGTTGGGTGTACGTATAAAAGAACATCTGGCTAGTAAACGAAGGGAACGTTTGACCGCACCACTTGGCAAACATAGGAGGGAAAGTCATGCGGGTTGTGACTTTGACGTTAAGTGCACGATTCTGGCGTACGAGAGTGATATCGGTGCTAGGAAAACTCTCGAGGCCTTCTGGATAAAACAACGCAATCCGAGTATGAATAACAGGAATGAGTGCATTTCCATAACTGATGATTTCTTGCCATACATTCCGCTTTGTGAGCTCTGATTAGGCAAACGTAACGTACGGCACGTGCGCACTTTGCTAGCAGCACACAAGCGGTCAGTCTCACTTTTCTCATTGACTCGCGGAGCTGAGCGGCCCGTCCTGGTGGAATTAAGGTGAGTTGACCGTTATTCGAACTTCTGCTCTGTGAGTCGCGCGTAGTCGCGCGTAGTCGCGCGGGGGAGCTGTTACATTTAGTAGGAGTGGGTCAGCTATGAGCGGAACGGCAACATCACAAGACGTTTCGATATGCTTTCAGGCCTTTGATAACGACGAAATCGTCGAAACGTCAGGCATAATAAATATTCCACCCTAAAAAACCTGTATGGCACAGCACTAACAAAAACACTCTTTTCTTCTGCTTTTCGTGGCGCGAAACGTTCCGCTGCAGAACCCCAGGTCCATACCGCAGATAGACCTGAGGCTCTAGAGCGGAAAAAGTTCGGCGCTGCGAACAGCGGAAAAATCTCGCCTAGCGATCCACACACAGGACATTGCTTGTCACTCG